ACTGACTATACTGACTATATAGTACTATATAAAATTTATGAATATAGTAGTACCTATCTGAGTAAATCAAGAGGAGGGTACTATAATCAGGGGAATGCACTGGGTCTTATTCTATTTACAGAAATATGATCTTATGAATTGTACTCAGGTCTTTTTTATGAGAGATATCATAATTAATAAGGGAGGTACTATAGTTAGTGGCTTTGATGTATATTATGTTATTTGGCAGTAATTTTCATTCTAGAGATGTACCTCACGTGAAATAACAAAATTCTCACACTCACAACTTCATGTACTATGCATAAGATGATGTCAACTATAAAGTTATTTGATTAAGAGAATTAAATAAATAATATATATTAAATAACTACATTCTTGTTATGTCATATTATTAATAAGTTTTACATGACTCACATAAAATTGTGCAAAATCACGCTAGTTTGACCTTGCACAAGGTACATCTCATTTATTACTATATATTAATACAGTAATATTTATTTGAAATATACATAAACTACATTATTTATACAATAAAAACTAATATATTTACACAATAATCAAGTCTTCACAAAATTGCGCAATAATCAGTAAGTATTAAAAGATAATAAGTTAAATTTACTTTTGTCATTACAAAACTAGGACTTGCTAAATTAATAAAGAGCTACTAATTATATCTTTTGGCACAGACACTAGTGCCTAGCATGGTAAGAGCAAAAAAACCAAAGTTCTTTAAAAAATCATGGTAACCCAAAATTTTAATTTATGAATTCCAACTTTCGCCATTAACAAAAACAAATCTATACAATTCGCAACTTTTATAATTGAAGGTGAATGTTAAGTATTATTGATTTGAATCTTGTGATTAATCTAAATATTTTGTTTTTGCGCAGAATTTTTCAGAGTATCCTTGTTGAGAAAATAATTTCAAACTGATGTCAAGACTATATAACTAATTTGGTATAGACACATTGTACCTAACCTAAAAATATCAAGGCATTAGCATTGACATACTAGTACTCGGTGTAAGTGCCTAATATGCACTATTGACTATGTAGTACTATTTTAAGAAGCATCAAATTTATGAAATATAGTAGTACCTATCTGAGTAAATCAAGTGGAGTACTATAATCAGGGAAATGCACCGGGTTTATTCAATTTACAGAAATATGATCTAATGAATTGAACTCAGATCTTATTTTATATGAGATATCATAATTGTAATATTATTACTGTATATTAATACAGTAATATTTATTTGATATATATGTAAACTATATTATTTATACAATATATTTACATAATAATAAAGTTCGCAAAGTTGTGCAGCAAATAGCGAGTATTAAGAAATAAATAATAAAGTTAAATTCACTTTGTCATTACAAAAGCTATAACTTGCTAAACCAATAATTTAAAGAGCTACTACCAATTTAATTATATTCTTTGCGTATGAACATAAATGAACATAAATTCTTCGCATATGAACAGAGTTTAGTTGATTTACGTGCTTTTGATATTCTAGCTTAATTTGGTAAAACTCATGTTTATCATTATGTAATAGTTAATCACCCTCTTTTTTTTTTTTTTTACTGTGAGAAAATATAAGGATCTCAACGAATTTTATATACAGTAATGAAAAATATATACAATATACTGTATTTAAAATCGCAAAATAATGGGCTTCAAAAATCGGGACCCTTAAAAACAGCATGCTTTGTTTCAAAAAATGTTCATGGGAATTTCGAAAAATATGTAGTAATAATATAGATTTTTTTATTCACGATAACTTCCAAATTAGTTCAAATTAGTTCGCTAAGCATGATATGATATTCACGTTATTGTTCTTGAGAAAAACTCAGTATTACGAACTCGCATTTTTTTATCATAATAATCGTGTCCTATAAAAAAAATTAGATATATAAGGACTACTTTTTTTCTCTACTAGTTTTATTATTCACTTCTCATTCATCTATATTTTCTTCTCTTTCTTTCTTTCTCTTTCTCTCTTTCTTTTTTTTCTCTTTCTTTCTTTTTCCCTTTTTATATAAAAAAACTTTTTTTTTGTTTATATGTGCAGAATGCTTTCTTTTTTCTACACATATAGGTGAATATTTATATTTTTAGACAAATACTCATATTTTTTTTTATTAGTTATTTTTTTATTTAATACTAACACTGGGATGGGTTTTTATTTTTTTTTTCTTATCTCAAACTCATGAGAAATAAATGAGTCAAAGTTATGGTGAAGTCTTCGGACTAATGATCCTAGACCAACTCGCTTGAACTTGAGTCAGAGATGGGTTAGAGCAGTGTGTGGTATGACGAAAGGTAAGTAGGGGGCACTCCCCAACTATAGAATACACCTCTTTGTAATGGTTGGGACAAGTAGGAGAGTTAAATCTCCGAAACCAAGTATTCCAATAAATAAATTTAGAATATTTTTTAATTTAAAATATATAGTTATAGAAAATTAAATGTATTTGTTAAAAAAATTTTTTATTAATAATAAAAGAATAATAAAATAAAATATATTTGAATTATCGTTAAATGAATATTCGTTGAAAGTTTTAAAATTGAAAAAAAAAAAATTAGTAAATATAATACATAAATATATTATGATATTTGACTTTAGTTTTTAGCGGTGCAAAAACAGTACAATCTTATTAATTTTATAATTAAAATAATCAATAAAATTTAATTATAAATATATATCACTATCGGTTCGCCAATATTACCTCATGCTCTAATAAAATAAAACTATGTTAAAATGTATTTTTGAACTTTAATAAATAAACTGCAAAAGCACGAACTTGTTTAATAAGACGCGAATTGTGTAGATTTCTAATAATAACCAACTGGAAAATACTCTTCATTTTTTTTAGCGATTTTTTTGACGTATATAGAGCGAAAGGTATAGTTTCCGAATATCTAAAATAAGTTATTAAAGGAGAATAACAAAAGATTTTAATTTTCTTTTAAATAATCTCAAAAAAAAAAAAAAAACGTAAAAATTGATTTTCGCCATATGAACAGTAATTTAGAGGCGATTGATCGGTTCTATCCTGCGACCGTTAGCTATATTTTAAACCTATTCAGTAATACGGTATTTTCATCCATAACTCTATAAACCCGCTTTTCTGCGTAATAAAAAAGCTTCCTTGTGAAGCTTGAAAATTTTTACATGTTCATATGCTATTGGTAATGATTATCACGTGGTGGCTAAAATTTCGAATGTTATAAATGCAGAAATGTCATACTGATATGTAACAATACTTTTTTACTATTCTCTATAATATGCCTGACGAAAAGAAACTTCCGTGGGGAATTAATGCAACAAAGCCCGGTTCTGCAAAGGTACTTTGAAAATTAAAGTATAATATATATTTTCAACGGTTTGATTCTTATATACTGATTTTTAATTTCTCAGACTCTTACGAAAACTAAGCTACAAGCATTTAGCATTGGTACTCATAAAAAGACGCCTTTTCAAAAGCATAAAGAAGAACTAGAACAGAAGAAAAAGGTTCAAGTCTTTATGACTATAGTTGAGTCTTTTTTTTTTATACCCTTTTACTTAATCTAATTTTTTTTTTAATAGCAAGAGTCTGAAGAAGCTGCAAAAGTTTATGCTGAATTCGTAGCATCATTCGAAAAAGACGAAGGTGGTGGAAAAGCCTTTGTTAAAGGCGAAACTATTGTACCAAAATGTGAGTCCATTAGTTAGCTTGTAAACCACTGTAATCGTCGTTCACTAAGTTACTTGGTAATGTCTGCTAGTATTATTCGATCATGAAGTGATAAATATTAAAAAGGAAACACCTGTCCCAACGACTCCGCCAAAATTATATAAACCACAAGCTTTCGTACCTGCTGTAACTACTATTACTGAACGAGAACCGACCCCCGAAATTAAAGTCGAAGAGAGCATAGACAAGAATGAGGTTAATTTGTGCAAGCAGTCACCCATCAAATTTTATTCATTTTCTGACTTATAACCAATTATTTAAATTTATAGGATGAAGACAAACAAGAAGAAAAGGCTAAAAAAAAGCGTAATTTAGATTCTTTTTTGGAAGAAATTAAACGGTTGGTAATCAAGAAATTATAATTACTATATCAGTTTAAATTTATTTACTAATGTTATATTTATCTTAATGAACAATAGTGAACAAGAAGAAAGAGAGGATCGGCTGAGACAAAAACATGCAAAACTTGCTGGCGCTGGTGTTTCAACAGGTGTGTGTTTACTAATAATGCTTAAGACAATAATATATTCTCATCTTTTCTTTATTTGGCACTTAAAGTCGGTGCAAATGATATAGAAATTGGTTCTAGCGATGAATTTGTGCCTACTTCACTAACAGTTAAAGCAGGTTAGTTAAGTCCCAACATTTAAAAATATATATTTTAGGCTTTGATCGTATAATAGAAATTTTTTACGCAGCTTTTGAGGATCGACCTGGATCACACGATACCGGTGATCCAAATACGACAAATTTATATGTTGGCAATATAAGTCCTGAGGTAATTTTATATTCTGATGATCCATCAATACAACTATCTTTTTTTTTTATTGATGTAAGCATTTTATATATTTTTTGCTTTGATAGGTTAATGAAGAAATGTTATGCAAAGAATTTGCAAAATATGGTCCTATAGCAAGTGTAAAGATAATGTGGCCACGTACTCAAGAAGAAAAAGATAGGAATCGTAATTGTGGGTTTGTCAGTTTTATGGATCGTGAATGTGCAGCTATAGCCTTAAAAAATATGGACGGAAGAGAATTACTTGGCTATGTTATGAGAGTGGGATGGGGTAAAGCAGTACCAATTCCACCACAACCTATTTATGGTATTATTATTAAACATACAATATATTTATATATGCTGTTTTTTAAAACAATTTAATTCATATTAATTGAACTGTATATTTTAAGTATTGAATGAAGGTGGACGACCACCGCCAAGTGGATTACCTTTTAATGCACAAATGGTTCACGCAAATAGTAAGCATCGTAGCATTTGTGTATTATGTTTTGTAATTACTCATTTTAATTTATTCTTTTTTTCATTTTTAAACAGATTATGCTACTGTACCACCACCTGGGTCGACTACAGTGAGTAGCTTGAGTAGCTTAGATTGTTAACTCTATGTTTCATGTATTTTATTATAACAATAGTTCTCTTTTTTTTTTTTTTTTTTTTTTTTGAAGGCCGTTTTAAAAGGTCCTCGCCTTGAGGTACAGGTTGCGCGGCCTGAAGATCCTCAAATTATAAAAATAATACATCGCATGGTAGAACGTGTTGTAAAATATGGACCACCATTTGAGGTAATTTAAGATTTTATTTTTAATATTTTAGTATTAAATATTTATTTTTTACATATATTATTTATTATTATTAAATTAATAGGCTATAATAATGGATCGCGAATGGAATAATTCCAAATTTGGGTTCTTGTTCAATAACGACGTAATGTAGCACATATATAGTTAGAAAACTTGATTTTGATGTCAATATTTATCATGAAGTCCTTATATTCAATAGTCACCTGAACATATTTATTATCGTTGGAGATTATATTCCATTCTCCAAGGCGATCCAAAGAATAAGTGGCGTACCGAAGCTTTTCACATGTTTAATGAAGGACCTATATGGGTTCCTCCGGAGATACCTTTTGATGAAGACGTTTGTATCATGATATGCAATAAAAACAACCCTTCATTAAATATTACAGGATTGCTTACGTTATTATCTTTGGGCAACAGGCCGCAGATGAGTTATTGGACTCCGATGAAGAGGATGAACGAGAAAGAGAGCGTGTTCCTAAAGGTACACTCGGCCCTAAAGCAAAACATCGATTAGAAGTAATGTTACGGAAATTGACCTATGAGAGAGGCGCTATAGCAAAAGCAATGACCTTTTCCATTGACCATTCTGACGCTGCTGATGAGGTAAAATCTGTTACAAATATTTTATATATTCCTAACAACTACTATTAATCAAATATATTACTTAAAATATAGATAGTGGATATAATCTTAAAACACTTGTTATTAAGGAAACGCCTATTCCAATCAAAGTTGCTCGACTATATTTGGTATCAGATATTCTACATAATCGTAGTGTTTCAGTGCCGAATGCCTGGAAATTTAGAACAGTATACGTATATATATTGTATTTGAATATATTGTTTATCTTTTAGTACATCAAAATGTTAATCACAACTAAATATTTATATATATCTTACCTTGAAAGTAGGAAAATATTTGAACATTTGAACGAGGTATATAGATCTATTGCGGCTAGATTGAAGCAGAGACTTTTAGGGAAGTGGCAAAATAGAAGATGAATATTTTGTTACAAGCTTTATGATTTAATATGATCATACTGTCTTTGTTAACAAAAAAAAAAAAAACAATGCTAAGAGAAAATATGGCATTTTTATCATTTCAATCAAGTTGGCTTTGAATATGGTTTTTTCTACCTCTATTTTGTGAAACTTTTTTTTTTCTTTTTTTTCCTCAGAATCGCATAAACTCTTAACAGCGTCAAATCACAACAATTCTTACCATATGGGAAAATTGGATTGTTTTTTCCACAACCATATATTGAATCTTTAACAAACACTTTCATGAAGCTTACAAAAGACGATAAAATTAAAAATTCTACAATATCACAACTATCCACCTCATCATCATCACCATCATCTGTAAATGATTGCACGAAAGTCATAGAAATACAAATAGACCATTGATGGTCAATTTGATTTTCAATTTATTAATGAGTATATTTTTAAAGAATTAATGTTTTACTAAGTTTGTGTATATTTCAATTTAATGAGCTATGTCGAAATATTTAGTTAATATACAAAAAAATGTTTTTTTTTAGAAATTATAACGCAATTAATTTATAAAGATTTAGTGATTACTAAAAGTAATTATGGTTTAATCCTGTTGAATAAAAAAAATTTAATACAAATATTCACATGTTTAGCGATGGAATCTGCTTGCTCGTCTTTGCTTGAGCTATTTATTCAATCTCGAGCCGCTACTACAAGTTAAGCTAAGTTACTTATAATTCAAATTGCAAATGTAATTTTAAAAGTTTATTTTCTTTATCTAAAAATAAATATCGATATAGCTTGTAACAAAATTTATATTATATAAGTTTATCAATATACAGTATAATTTACTTGATGCAAATTTATTAAGATAAAATTTTCAATATGTTAACAATTTTTAAATATATATTCTAAATATATGTTTTTGTTTTGAAAATCAAGTTTTGATTAAATAATTTACTATGATTTGTAAGGTTATTTTCAATGAAAAATTTATAATATAGTAGTTTTTGAAAATTTTGATTTTTAATAATTGATACTATAATTGTAACCGTATCTGTTAAGGGTAGATAGGTTTGGGACCGATTTGTATATGAAACTAAGCAAACTGAGGTTTTTCTTTATTAAAAAATTGCAAGCGAAAGCCTAATTAGCTTTCTTTCTTTTTACACATTTTTATATCGCATTTTACAATACAATTACTGAACTATGACTACAACTTGACGCATGGTCGTTACGCTTTCTAATGACTAATGCTAACGCGATTCCGACCTTACATCACGTTCACGTGATATGCATTTGTTTTATGAATCTCCGATACGATCGTTGCACGAACTTCCAGCACGTTCGTTGTGCGACACGTGCATTGTGCAACGTGGTTCAGCAGTTCCCTTACACTTTCCCCATTTAAAACAGTTTCACCACATTTTTCAAAATCTTTTATTAGGTCTTTATATTTTTCGAGATTGTTTAAGAGTTTCCAGGTCGCATCATACAACGGTTGTCTTTTCCACTTCACCAAGTATTGTAGATGGTAGTAGTAAATTCTTTTATCTAATATGGCTTCGACTTCATGTTCTTCAGAAGTTTTACTTTTGATATTTTGGGTTGATTCAGTAGCTTCTTTGTTCTAATTAGAGTAATATAGTTTCAACAAGGATATGTGGAAGACTGGATAGATACATATGGTTTCAGAGATTTCTAGCTAATATGCTGTTGCTGATATTTTCTGATTAATTTTATAGAGGCTTATGAACTTTGAAATTAATTTTTTTGATAGTTTTTTTCTATTTTCTTGTAGAGATAAGTTTGCTCTATTTAGTATTACTAATTCTCTTTCTTCTAATTTTAGGTAATATTATTTCTTGTTAGCTTGTTTAATTGTTCTTCTTAGATATTTACTAGTGTATCTTTTACTACATTCATTATTTCAGTTTAATGTTCAAGTAATTCTTGTGTAGTTTTAATATTTGTTGGTTTATTTTTTTGATTGTTAAACTTAATAGTATTCTTGAATAGTGTCTATTATCTAACTAGAATAGTGTATATCTTATAGATCCTTGTAGTAAATTGTTATACAAAAATTCTGCAGCAAGTAAAATTTCTTTCTAATTATCTTGCTTATAGTTCATATATACATATAGCATTTCTTCAAGGATTTAGTTAGTTCATTCTATCTAGCCATCTATTTGTAAGTATACTGCTATTAATATTTTTAGCTCTAAGCCTATTATTTTAAAGAGATTTTTTCAAAATTTGCTAGTGAATTTAGGATCTCTATTAGAAATTATAAAGCATAGTAACTCGTGATATTTTAAAATTTTTTTAAAGAAAAGTTAGACTACTTCTACTATTATTACAGAGCTTCTAGTAGGTATAAAGTGTGTTTTTTTGTTAAGTCTATCTACTATTACTATTATTAAATTATTTTTATTTTTATTTGTGATAAGTATATTATAAAGTTTATTAATACTATTTCTTAGGATTATATTAGTATTTCTAGTAGTTGTAATCAGTGTTTAAAATTCTATATTCTTAGTATTCTCAGTGAACATTAAAATTATTAAGAATATCAATATTTAAATTAATGTTCTTTTATTTAAGAACATTTTGTATAGATAGAATGTTCTTAAAATATTATTATTATTAAACAATTAAATAATTATAAGTTTTTTTACTACTATATTAATCTTATATAGGTTCTTAAGTAAAGTTATGTATAGAAACTTTTTAATTCTATTAGTATTTAAAATGTTAAAATTGGTTCAGTAAATCATGAGTTATACCTATTTTAATTTTTGTAACTATAAGTTTTCTTTACAAATTTGTAAAAAAAAAAATCTATAGTTACAAAAACTAAAACAAATATAACTTATGATTTACTAAATCAATTTTAATATTTCATATACTATTAGAATCAAAAAGTTCCTGTATACAATTTTATATAAGAGCTCAAGATAGGTTTACTTAATAAAAATATAAGTTTATTTAAAAAATAATATTTATATAATGAGAATATTAAAAAATTTTGAGAACATTAATACTATAAATTAATGAGTTGGATCCTATAGCTTAGTTGGTTAAGCTCTCAACCCTCTACAGACAAGGTCAACGGTTCGAGTCTGGTTGGAGGCATTTGCTTCTGTAATTCTTATAAAAACTATTATTCGAATGTGAAGCTTTATGGTAAAACCCATGTGAAGTACAAGATTCTAGAAAAAGAATTCCTAGAAGGAGATCAATATTATAGAGCAAGTTGGCATTATGTATGATAGTTAGTGTTACAGAAGGTTCTGTTATATAAGTATTGCGCAAATAAGTCCTCGAAGAATTAGGCAGTACCAACATCTCCAGCAGTTGGGAACTTGCTTAGAAGAGTAACACGAAAGTAATACGAGCTAGAGTAATGAGCGAAGCAGTGAATATAATAGAAATCTGTAAAAAAAGATTGTCCTAACTATATGTGGAACACCTCTGATATATGTGAAAGCTAGAATTAGAAGGTTCCAGTTCTATAGAAAGTTGGCTACTATTTAGAATATGTGTAAAAACTCAAATTGGCAGGAAGCACTGGGCTGGTAGTGCAATTGCACATCTGAGTACAAGGGCATATTAACATTAAACACCAGCTAATACAGATGCAAGTTGGAAGTAGTACTACATATTACGAACCTAGTTAGAAGCAATCTTGATTGTGAAACATAGCCTATACTCTACTAATACATGGGAGTATCTGGTATTAATAGTTGCACAGCATATGAACACAGTTGTACATTATAAAATGCTGGCATCTCCATGATCTGCAGAAGATGTAACAAGTTGTGGGCCTAGGCTTTAGTCATGAATGTACTAACTAGGAGATATGGAGTTAGGCAGTAAAACTGGCTAGACACTAAACAGGAAGTTATCTGTGAAAATTGATGATACTCCATATAGCCTATAGTACCTGTCTAGTAGTATCTCTGTATAAGTATGAATGATGTGAGGAATATAGTGATAGTGATCTAATAATAATAGTCATAGCATAAACCCTAATCAGAAAACTATAATAGGTAATATAAATTAGATCAAAAATAATTCGTAGATAAATTAGTCCTAAGGTTTATATATAGATTTAAATACGTTGTAATCGTTACTTGTAACAAATTATAATAAATTTAATAAAGTATATGGCCAAAGAGGTTACTTGTAAAAAAAAAAAAAAAACATTAATACTATAAATTTAGCTTACTTGAGAACATAATTTTGAATTTGAATTTTAAATACTTGTTATAATAATCTTGCTAAAGCTTGTATAGAGCTTTTATTTCTCTAATAGCTATTATATTTTTTTATGTATTTTTTCATATTATTATTCATATTTTTATAGTAGTAACTTCTTTTTAATACTTTGTAGATTTATTTAAATCTAAAATATCTATTCAAGTTATAGCTTTCTTTTAATAATAGCTTTCATTCTTTAAATTCTTTTACTATATATAATTTTTATTCTTCTGTATCTTCTTTAAAAAATAGTAATCTGTTTTCTTTTAGTTTGAATCTACTTATTTGCTTTCCTAATTATTTAGCTTTCTTGTTATTAGGATCTTTTAATATTTCTAAGATTCTTTTAAGATAAGTATCTTTCTTGTATTCTTTTTTTATTCTTTCATATATATCTTTCTTAATACTAACTTCTGTTATTGTATTTGTTTTAAGTTTTTTTGATAATGTATCTACTACTATATTATCTTTTCTAGTTTATATTTAATAATAAAATCATATGTTTAAAGAATTTTAATACATTGTACTTGTTTTTAGAATAATTTTACTTAGAATTGTAAGTATTATAGTAATTTATAGTCAGTTATAATTTAGAAGGTATTTCCTTTTAAATATATATATTAGATTTTTAGTGTATATATATAATTGTTATTAGTGCTTTTTCATAAATTAGATAATTTAATTCTATAAAGTTTAGTTTTCTTAATTTATATACTATTAGTTGTTCTCTGTAGCTTTA